TAGAATCCACATATATGTGTCTAGTGTTTCATTAGTGACCAATGCTTGACCTACAAGTCTTGTTTTATTATTGTTATTAACAATAATAAAGAGAGATAATAGCATTCGATATTGATTTGTTTGTGCCATATTATCATTAACCACCACGTCATATTACTTTAACCAAAGGTTTATTTGTTCTGGTGACATCCAGAAGAGTCGAATCAGACGATTTTCTTCATTAAGTTCAAATTCAACTGCCTATTGTGGGTCGCTTATTTTTTTTTCCATTAATAAGGTAAGTAAAGTTGATGCATCATTTTCCTTATTAAGGTTATTTGTTCTTTTGATTTTGCTAATAGCATTAGCAAGATCATTATCTTGAATATTCAAATCTGGAAAACAGGCTTTAAGAAGCTTTTTTTGTGATGTAATTGATAAGTTTCCATGCTTAGACATTATTTCAATTTCTTTTATGGCTTCTTCATTTAAAGCCCGGTATTTAGAACTAAATTTTTAGATTTCTGGTACAAGGATATAGTTATGTCTATTATCTAGTGTTGTAATTTGAATTTGAAGCCCGGTCTGACCCAACGAGAGATTACAATGCCAAGGGCAATTTTTTTTCTTCATTTTTGTATTATGTTGTGTTCCATTTTGGGCTGCTGCCAAACTTTTTTTAAGTTTATACGTTTCATAAAATTCACAACAAAAAGTTCTGTTTTTTACTATTCCTGTTTTAGAACTTTTTTTTCTATATTTGTTGACCACAAAACCGTTTCGTACACCATATTTCAAAAAAAAAGTTTCAACCTCATCCCACGAGTTGAAGGTTATATCTATAGGTATGTCCTCTGATTTTATTCTAACTAACAAAGGTATTTATATTAGTTCTAAGTAGTATTACGAGGAATTAAATAATTGAATAGCATTGGTATGTGTGTCTTACTATTTGTATCTGATAGTTCTGGCATAGATGGTTTAACTGCATTCTTTTCAATTATATCCATATTACTTGCACTTTCTCTTGTATTATCTAAAGAATCATCAAGTTCAATGTCTTCTAGATTCACGTAACTATTTTCAATATGATCGAATGTGACTATAGAATTCATTAATTCGATCAACTCAGATTCTGAAGTAGCTGACATATTTATTGGATTTATTGAGCTTAGAAAAGAGATGCTACGACTTAACATTTTTATTTCTGTTTTTGTTTTGGAAGCATGTGAGATATAGTAGTATTGCTCACTGGAAGATCTTTTTAATTGGCCAGTAAGATTTGAGTGCGATGAATAATCATATAGCATCTTGTATATTTATTAAGAGAATTTTATAAGCGTGACTAGCATTATAGCACTAAGTAAAAAAAAAGTATATCTCTTTTATTCAGTACATTTGTAAAATTTCTTTTGAATGAAATTTGTGTTTTTTTTAACCATCTTATATTTTGCTGTCAAAGTTAACCAGACTCAAGTTAAAGTTTGCTTAATTTATAGTTAACTACTAGAACTCTAGAGCAAGACTAATTTGCAAAAAGACATGCCTACCACCCAAATTTATTTCAGATCATATATTATGATTTTAATTAACATTATTTTATTACATCATTCTAAGTATGGAACAGTATTCGTTAAAATCATATCGCATGATCAGAAATAAACTTGAATGGTAAAGTTATCTGGTTGCATTAGAACTGGGATTAAAATGGGAGCTGGACAAAATCCCGACGAACAAAATCCTGAAAGATCAAAATCCCGAAAAGATAACCCGAATTAGGTTAGTGTTAGCTTAATTCCGGTTAATTTTTTTCTGGATTTCGTTCTTCAGGATTATGTTTTTGAGATTTTGAACTAAACCCATTAAAATTAGCATATATGGGAATTAGCATATAACGAATTTTAAGTGATCTTGGCAAAATTTATTAATACCATTTAGAGCTGTTGATGGAATAACTTAATTCTGGAAGTTACAATATAGATATTAAAGTTGGCCAAATCATATGACAATTTCTACTATATAGCATTAATGTCAACTTCACCCAGCAATTTCTGGTCAGAATATATTAGAGTTCTGGTTAGCAGGGCCAGAAATAGTCGATTTTTCTCAGGATCACTAAAATTTTTATCATAGCCGTTTATTAAGTGAAAATATCTGATCAGGATTGCACTATAAAAATTATAAATTACAGTGTAATTATGTTAGTAAATTACATAAAGTTTAACAACCCTAATTCCGGGCATCTAGTATAGTTTAAATTTAGAGTAGCTACCCGTAGTAGTTATAAACAACCTGGGTAAATGTTATTAGTCAATTTAATTAGTTAATTTAGCTTAATTCAGTTGTATATATTACATATTTTTTTTTTTTTTGTTAATCTTTGACAGCCTTGTCGGTACTTAAATACAAATATTTACATGGTGAAATCTGTTTTACAATAAAACCTATTTCTAGTAAATGTCCTTTGCAATTGCAAGCCCGGCATTATCCGGCTACAGATGCTGCACCCAGATGCGACTTGTCGCACTGACCCACACATGTGTTAGGTGACTTTGTTAGCTCCGTCAAGAACCGAAGTATGTATTACATATTAATTTAATTAAATTTTATGTATATTTATTAAAGTGCTATAAATAGCTATATAGCATCCTGCGATAACTATATTTATTCTTATTTTTTATATACTATATATTATAATAATTTTATTTATTTAAATTACTCTAAAACTTAGCTAATATATATAACTTTGCAAATCATAATTATAGCATTATGAATAATAATCATTTAAGTTAATAGAAGGCTAACAAATTAACAGTTGTTTAGCAAGAATACCAGAACCAACCCTGCTAAATCATGCAGACCAAACTGCTATTTTAAGCAGTTTATAGTTAATTTAGCCAAATTAATTAGACAGAAAAACTAGTAGCTATAAAGAAATATATGCTTTTAAATAAGTATAATTTAATCTAGAATTATTAGATAATTACTATTATACTAATAATAACTATTATTAGATTGAATATAATAATAAGTTACTATAGTCAGGTTGTATACCAAAATCAAGAAGTGAGATTTGCACTAATCTCTTTTATTCTCAGGCAGAGGTTTACTATTTATAGTATTTTTTTTTTTTTTTTTTTTTTTTTTTTTTAAGGTGAGGCCTTGCTTATATCTTTATTAAATAATTTATATAAGTAATTATATAAAATTTATAAAGAACTTAATTTGTATAATAACAAATAAATATAAATTATATACAAGAATAAAAGCTCAGACTATATATCAAACTAATTATTTGTGATCTAAATCTACTAGAGTGGTTAAAGCTTATCTTGATTTGAGTAGTTAAGATATAGTTAATAGGGGTGTTGTATTTGGTTCACATAGTATACCAGATATCAAATTTATAATTAGTAAGCCCAGAAGGAGGATAGATATTTGAATTAAAGTAAAGCTAATCTGAAGTATTACATAAACAATTATAAGTAAAGATGTTTCTAGTTCTATTATAAGTATAAGAGTAGTATAGATTAGAAGGTTGGTTATAAGAGAAATTAGAAGGGATTTAGTACATTCTTTTCTATATAGAATGTTAATATAAAATAGGTTCTATATTTGGTTACAGAGTTGGTTAAAAATTTTGAGAAGGGTTTGAATAATAAGCTGCGAAGCAAGAAAGTATAGTATATCAAAGATTTGTACAAATTAAATAAGTGAAATAGGGATAAAACCTTTGAGAGTAGAATAGAAAGAGTATAGATAGAGTGAATAAGGCTATAAAGAGAATGATAGGTGAGAGGAAATAGTATATTTCAGATAGTTAAATTTGAGTAGAGAAAGATTGAAATTGAATTTGAAAACAGTTTTATTGATGCAGAAGTTAATAATTTGAGTAGTTGATTATAGTTACGAGAGGTATTCCAGTAAAATAAAGAGTTAGGAAGATTTTATTAAAAGCAGTTAGAGGATAAGAATAAATTAGGAAGTGTAGAGTGATAGTGAAAATGTTTAGATAAGTTGTTAAACAAGATTTTAATTTTAAAAAATTTAAAATAGTTGAGTTTAAGGTTGGTAAACTTAGATGAGCTTTTTTGATTATTGCTAAAATAAAGCCAAGTAGAGTTCTAATCAATATAGTAAAAAAAATGTGATTATTCTTGATTGTGATTTTGGGAGGACTACATTGCGATAGTTTTAGCTCTACAAAACTTTTTAATAAAGTATCTAGCAGGGCTATCAATAGGGCAATTTTTCTATTTAAGAAAGAAATAAGAATTGTGTATATTGCAATAGTTAAGTGTTAAGATAGGGGATAAAGTATGATTGTTGGCAAGCAAATCTGCTAGATTGTTAAAGATATGTTAGTATGAGCTTAGATTTGTAAAAATGTTAAATTAATATCATAAGCTTTGAGTAAATTAAGAAATATATGCCAGATAGGCCAAGAGTTGAATTTAAGAAATTTAGAAAAAAAGTGATGATTTAAAATAAGTTTGTTTATTTAGAAATTACAGATTAAGAGTCTGTATAGTATTAACAAAGGAGTTGTAAGGAAGAGTTGAAAAAGCAGATAAGATGGCAAAGAGTTCAGCTTTGTAAGATGAGAGCTAGTTGATAATTTGAGCAAAAAAGTTATGAATTACAGTATTATTATAGATTTGAGCCCAGCTGATACCTATAGTGCATTGGTTAGTACTAAAGTTTTTAACAGATCTATTTGTATAAAATATAAAGTGTTAATGAGAGTTGTTAACCAGAGCAATTTAAGTAAGATTGTCAAAGGCATTATTATTATAAAAAAGTATAACCTTTTGAACTTCTGATTACACAATAATCACACACTAGAGCTATAGTTAATGCTCTAAGAAGAATTTTTAAGTTTTCTGAGCTCCCTGAGGTATACTTTGCTAAACTGCCTTCACTTCTCCCTCACTATAATGAACTTATATCAAGTTTATGCCAACTATTCTCTATTTCTCACAGATCTTCATTACAACACCTCACTCTATACAAAAGGAAATTAGCAGACTTCTATACAGTTATCAAAATTCTGGACTCATACTTTGATCTATCACCACCTAAAAAGCCCCTATCTACAATATACCAAGAGCTTAACCACAAAGTTTGTAAATTCTTTTCCTTTAACCAAGCTTATCTCTTATACCACTAGCAGAAGTTATAGCTCAACTCAGAAAATACTACATATTTAAACTACTATCTAATAACTTTTTTACTACCAAACCTTCTCTCTCCACAGATATAAGCAAAATTAAAACCACCACACCCTTTAACTTCCCTATTACTGATGATACAGAGGCCAGAGAGTTTATTAAACAAGTCTCTCCTCAATACAGAATCCAATTTCTACTCCCTATGGAGATTATGCAAGCCAACTCACTAATAAACCTGCTTTGCCAACTACAGAAGAAATTGTAGAATACTATGATATTTCTCTTCCTATCACAACATCACAACAACTCATAGCTACAGTTAAAATGCTTTGCAGACATTACTATTTTAGACAGCTCTCTACAAACTGGATTCAAATCAAAAATTACAAACTCATCGATGCTGAGGATACCAACTACAAGCAAACTCTTCCTAATATCTCAGAGGATATTGAAGATATTATTCAGACTCTATCTAGACAAGAAATTATTATTACACTTCCTATACAAAACCAATCTGATATCACTTTAACTATAAAGACTCTTTGACAGTTTTATATAATTAAAAAGATTTCTAACTTCTTGCTTGATTTTCTCCCTCTTCCAACTCCTAGCTGGAGTATATTTAACAACACAGCTACACTACCTAGTCTAAGCACAGTACAAACATTTGCAAGTATCGCCTCTAGTCCAAAGATTAATATATCTATTCCAATACTAATGGAGGACACAATTATTACAGAGATACTAATATCTACCAAAAACATACTACTACTTTATGACAACATATTACCATTGAACAACCCAATACTAATGGACACAAATGAGTAATTATGAGTAGCTCGCAAAATTTATATAATCTCTATACTTCTCAATCCAGCTCTACTCAACTCTATACCTCATCAACATATATAAACAATAACTCACCCAACCCATTTACACTTTTTATCTGTGTACACAATGTACAAAGCTTTAATACAAATACCAAAAAAGAAACCTGGAAGCATTACTATCTGCAAAACAATCTAGATATTATTAGTATTACTAAAACTAGACTTTCTAGTAAAACTATGTTACAAAAACCATACAAAACTAAATACTATACCTACTTCTGGGCATGTACTGATAGCTCCAGAGCTGGA